ACGTAAATTGCCAAACTCTGTCCATAAACAGGAGTCCATAAACCAATGGGTGACGTCACAATGGCTACATCCATTATTTTGCACAGTCTGTGGTTATTAGCCTGATGCTTTACAGAATAAATAGTACCAGCATGATGTGCTCTTTGTGTGTGTGTGTGTGTGTGTGTGTGTGTGTGTGTGTGTGTGTGTGTGTGTGTTTACCAGGTCGCAGTTGGCCAGCTCCAGCTCCCTCAGGCTGGTGTTCACCTGCAGCATGCTGGCCAGATGCATGGCTCCTCTGTTCTCGATCTTATTACCTGACAGGCTGAGGAACACCAAGGTGCTGTTACACTGCAGAGAGAGGCAGAGGGAGATATCATCACTTTCTGACATCTAACATCTTAAGGCAGAAGTGCGAAGTATCCGAGTAGTTACTATCAATAAATCTCATGTTCAGACTCAAACCAACAGTAAATGTATCCAATAACAAGTACTGTGTGTGCACCTACAGCCTCATATATCTTTTTCCTCTGTGCCACAGTACTAGCTCCACTGTTATTAAAAACACATCAGTGGGCCACACTGTTGCACTGGGTGACATGTTCTTTTATCACTATGAACACACACTGTAGCTTATTTTGACTCAATCCCACAATCACTGCGCTGCTGCTACAAATACTAGAGTAACAAATGTAGATTAATCTGCCACTGAAAATAGTCCCCAACAAATGCACTACTTCCCTCTTTTTGTTTGATAAAAATACAGCAATCAGGTGTTTTAGGAAATTACTTAGATTTATAAATATATATGTATATTTATATATATACAGTACAGGCCAAAAGTTTGGACACACCTTCTCATTCAATGCGTTTTCTTTATTTTCATGACTATTTACATTGTAGATTCTCACTGAAGGCATCAAAACTATGAATGAACACATGTGGAGTTATGTACTTAACAAAAAAAGGTGAAATAACTGAAAACATGTTTTATATTCTAGTTTCTTCAAAATAGCCACCCTTTGCTCTGATTACTGCTTTGCACACTCTTGGCATTCTCTCCATGAGCTTCAAGAGGTAGTCACCTGAAATGGTTTTCCAACAGTCTTGAAGGAGTTCCCAGAGGTGTTTAGCACTTGTTGGCCCCTTTGCCTTCACTCTGCGGTCCAGCTCACCCCAAACCATCTCCATTGGGTTCAGGTCTGGTGACTGTGGAGGCCAGGTCATCTGCCGCAGCACTCCATCACTCTCCTTCTTGGTCAAATAGCCCTTACACAGCCTGGAGGTGTGTTTGGGGTCATTGTCCTGTTGAAAAATAAATGATCGTCCAACTAAACGCAAACCGGATGGGATGGCATGTCGCTGCAGGATGCTGTGGTAGCCATGCTGGTTCAGTGTGCCTTCAATTTTGAATAAATCCCCAACAGTGTCACCAGCAAAACACCCCCACACCATCACACCTCCTCCTCCATGCTTCACAGTGGGAACCAGGCATGTGGAATCCATCCGTTCACCTTTTCTGCGTCTCACAAAGACACGGTGGGTGGAACCAAAGATCTCAAATTTGGACTCATCAGACCAAAGCACAGATTTCCACTGGTCTAATGTCCATTCCTTGTGTTTCTTGGCCCAAACAAATCTCTTCTGCTTGTTGCCTCTCCTTAGCAGTGGTTTCCTAGCAGCTATTTGACCATCAAGGCCTGATTGGCGCAGTCTCCTCTTAACAGTTGTTCTAGAGATGGGTCTGCTGCTAGAACTCTGTGTGGCATTCATCTGGTCTCTGATCTGAGCTGCTGTTAACTTGCCATTTCTGAGGCTGGTGACTCGGATGAACTTATCCTCAGAAGCAGAGGTGACTCTTGGTCTTCCTTTCCTGGGTTGGTCCTCATGTGTGCCAGTTTCGTTGTAGCGCTTGAAGGTTTTTGCGACTCCACTTGGGGACACATTTAAAGTTTTTGCAATTTTCCGGACTGACTGACCTTCATTTCTTAAAGTAATGATGGCCACTCTTTTTTCTTTAGTTAGCTGATTGGTTCTTGCCATAATATGAATTTTAACAGTTGTCCAATAGGGCTGTCGGCTGTGTATTAACCTGACTTCTGCACAACACAACTGATGGTCCCAACCCCATTGATAAAGCAAGAAATTCCACTAATTAACCCTGATAAGGCACACCTGTGAAGTGGAAACCATTTCAGGTGACTACCTCTTGAAGCTCATGGAGAGAATGCCAAGAGTGTGCAAAGCAGTAATCAGAGCAAAGGGTGGCTATTTTGAAGAAACTAGAATATAAAACATGTTTTCAGTTATTTCACCTTTTTTTGTAAAGTACATAACTCCACATGTGTTCATTCATAGTTTTGATGCCTTCAGTGAGAATCTACAATGTAAATAGTCATGAAAATAAAGAAAACGCATTGAATGAGAAGGTGTGTCCAAACTTTTGGCCTGTACTGTATATATATATTTATATTTATATATATATATATATATTAGGGTTGTTCTCAGTAGGAATCAATAGGCTTGGAGCTGAGATCGCAGACAGTAAGTCAGACAGCATTGACAGACAGAGTAACACGTTGTTTTTGGTATTCTTTGGGTATTTGTTCTTATTAAATAAAAGTAAAAGTAAGCAGAAGAGGTGCCTATAAATAGTAGTTCTGTGAGTGTATGTGTGTGTGAGAATGGTATGAACCTGAAGGCTCTTGGCGAGAACTTCAGCTCCATCTGTCTGGATGTTATTGAACATCAAGTTCAGAGAGTGCAGAACTGAGCTCTCCTCCTGCTTAGTGAAAACACAAAGATAAACATGGACTACAAGTGGATCATTAATAATATGGCAAAAAAACCTCCACATGGGGTAACAGCAGTTTACCAGCAACCTATCCAAGGAATTAAACTATTTAATTAAATTTCCTGCTCACCTGTAAGAGGTCAGCTAGGTGTCCAACCCCTTCATCTGATATGTTATTGTAACTGACATCAAGACCTATTGAAACAAAGAAAACAAGTTTTACATTGTTAAACATATCCTAAGGAGTTCGCCTATACCTGACAGCTCACCTGCCACATTCTTGTTGTTTCTGAGACATTCTGAGAGAGCAAGAACATCTTTGTCATCAAGTCGCTGAACACATCTCAGGCGGTTGTTACCAGTCAGTTTTAAGATGGTGTTCCTGCCAAAAACACACACAAAAACCCCTAATTAATTTCATAAATAAACACTCATGCTGCCTTCAGGCTCACTGCATTAAGTTTGAGATCTGATTGGATTTACATGCTTTTGAATGGAACACAAACAAATTACATAACTAAAAGTTAATCAACAGATGCTGTGGGTTTATTTTCTAAATTAAGTAGTTCTTCTTGCATGAAAACCTAAACTAAACTAAGAAAAAAAGTAGTTGCAAACTGGTAGTATCAGTAGTGGAAGTATCAGCATTTTACTGTTGTAATTAGTTGAGCTGGAAAATTTAAATTTGTTTTATTTCATTTTGAGTAGCGTAATTTTATAAAAATACAATATATTTTCTTAAACATATTTTGTAAGTAACAAGGTAATTGTGCACTTTAGCATTTACACTAATGTAATGGAGTAAAAAGTACAATATTTTCCTTTAAAATGTATTGGAGTAGAAGTTTGAATAGCAGAGAAAAAAGTAGCCTTCATGAGTAAAGTGCAAAAATTCAAAATTGTAACTTCAGTACAGTGTAGTAATTGTTACATCAGTAAAGCAGTGGCTAAAAGTACATTTACTGAATTAATGTACATTTTGGATGTAATTTACTTAAGTAATTCCATTTTTATGCTACTTTTTTTTAACCTCTACTCCATTTATTTGATCCATTCTAATATTTGTTATTTTACAGATTCAGATTATTAATAAAAAATATTATCAACAAATAATACATGATATGTTATTTCAGGTTAATCTATCCAACAATAAATCAAGTAATTAAAATTAGTTCTGCCTATACCAGCAGTAACATTAAAGTGATGAACACATTAACTACTAATTATAATCCAACAATATACGCGAGTCTGAAACTGGCCATTCTGCAAAATGAGTACTTTTACTTTTAGTAGTTCAAGTATATTTAGATGGTAATACCTTTGCACTTCTTTTTCACATTTTAAAAACAGGACTTTTATTTGTAACAGAATATTTCTGTGGCATTAGTAAGCTACTTTTACTTTAAGTAAATGATCTGAGTACTTCTTCCACCACTAAAGTAAAGTACATAATTACTTTCCACCACAAACTGTGATGCTGCCACTGAAAATGTCAGGTTATCAGTCAGCAGCACCTGAAGGCAACATTAATTTCGGAAGCTAATCTTGACATATGGCTTTTTTCGGCAAAACACGTTAACTTCAAGTAATGTCAGATTACGTAGAGCCACTCACTCCGTTTCCGTCGTCGTCTCTAACACTTGTAAAATGTGTGGGTTTATTTTTATCTCATGTTCTGCGCAGAAAGCAGCGTAAAAGTCTGAAATATTTTCGTTAGCCATCGTTATTCGTGCAATGGAGTTTGAGTTACTACGGCAACGAGGAAGGATGGCGTCTCGCGAAGGACAAAAACACTAAAAACACAACAACAGGAAACCCAAGATCTACCGAATATAATTATTTAGCTTTTTAAAATATGCTGTCGTTTTCCAACACAAGACCAGCTCCCTAGTTTTAATATTTTAATGGCTTTATTTGGTATTCAACCACAAACGTACATTGGCTGTCATTTCTTTCTAGGTTAAATGTCCCTTTAATTCTTCCTTGAGTCACATGAGGGACTGTTCTTTACCTATTAGAGGAGGGGGTGGCGTTGTTTTCTTTTTTTGTTTGTTTGTTTTTTATTTGACTCTCCCACGAAGCAATAAATATTCTTCCTCCAGTCTCCCTGAGTGACTAGCGGAAAATGCATGACCCTTACTCCACCATAAGTCAGTTATTCAGTTTTTAAAACTTACCCTTAAGCGATTGAACATTAAAAGTTGAAAGATGAAGATGAAATCCTGGAATTAAAAAAAAGTCTTGCTTTTTCATTCTTGTCATGTATGCTGGTTGGTTCATGGAAACAGTTTATTTTTGGCCAATTTTTAAATGAGACATGTAGAGTAAAGGGACTTTGATGAAACATTACCATTTTAGGGTCAGATTTGATTATGTGTTTTTTCTCATTGTACATGATGTGTCTAAGGACTGTCATCGACAATTTCTGTTTTTACAGTGTATAGCTATGATAAATGGTTTAATTTGGGCTTTCAGTTTTTAAAGAAAACATGCCTTCCAATCCCAGCTGTCAAATGAATACACAATACAGCCATTTAAAGTTGTATATCCCTCCCCTAAGCAAAAATAAAAAGCATAAGTCCCTCCCCAGTGCTTAAAAAAAAAATAATTTGACATGCCTACCCCTTCTTTGCACCACTCCTTCCCCCTCTTAAGTTACGAAGTCCTTAGAACTACAAAATTACCGTATTACTGTCGCCAACATTACATTAGTTTAGTCTTAATAATGTAAATGTAGTCTTTATTTATATTAATTTTGAATACGCATTTACTTTGTGCCAATTAAACCTTATTTTGTATGTTTGAATACACAGTATTTTAGCAATTAAGCTTTTAAAGACTCCCACTGTCATACTCGAATGAACTTACAAATTAATCTTCATCATGGATTTTCATTTTTACATAACTATTATTTAAGCAATTATCATTTATTTCTCAGTACTGTATCTGCAAAAGTCACTGAGGCAAACACACATCTGTTCCTTTTTGTCTTTAATTTTATTTTCCTGTTGTACAGTTTTTATACAGCAGACAACTTGTATATGTAAGTCACATTTCTGTACAAGTAATGCAGACGTTTTATCGAAAATAACTAGGAAAGAGAAAAAAGAAAGCATGGAACAAAAAACAGCTACTTTTAAGCTGAAAGAAACGTGATTCAGTTTTCAAACTTGAAGCACAAACACTTCTGCTAAGACCTAAAACAGCTGCTTAAAAAAACTGTATTACACTGAAACAGAGAACTCGGTTATGTTTACATTAATTAAGCCAACATCACATATGTGGAACATTTATGATAAATAAAATCACATTTCATGGCGATATCAGGGCCCCGCTGACCTTTGTTATCTATTAAAAAACAATGCGTTGTTTCTTTACATGAGAGAATTCAGACAGAACACTAACTCCAGCCGCACGTCAACGTCTGTGAAAGTGTTGTTGGATTCAAGTTTTTGGTGATGTAGTGATGTTTAAGTGACTGTTTAAGCTTGAAACACAGAGCCAAAGTAGATGAAAACATCTGTTTCTACACTGGAGGAAAAAATGTAGAGCAGAAAGCACGTTTCTGACATCAGTTGTGTTACACATATTTTCACCATTAAAAAATGGTCCATTACAGTCTGTTATATGGTAATACACGCCTGGATGTGACTGACTGTGGCTTGAATGCTAAAATGTGAAAATGTTCCATGAGAGTGACACCGCTGTGCCTCAGGCCTCACTGCTGAGGAGGGTTGTGTTCGGCGTTGTCCACTGTCCTGATGATGACGATCTGCTCCAGGCTCTGGGCGGGCGAGGGCGGTGGCCGCAGCTGCTCCACCAGAGCGTGGAGGGTGTCTGAGTTGATGGTCTGCTCCTGGTCGGTTTCAAAGGTCACCTGGTCGGTGGCGGTGGTGGTAGTTGTGATAGCAGGGTGAGCTGGCTCTGCCTTGAAGTCCTGCATGATAGCGGCGGTGGTGGTAGCAGTGTCATCGTCAGTGTCGGCTGCTGACGGCACTGTGGCTTTGGGGATGGGGGTGGCTGGCTCGGGGTTGGTTGGCTCGCCTTCCGGAATGGAAGCCATGCCTTTATTTTCCTGGGTGAGTTTGCTCTGGACAAACGCCACAGGATGACTGGAGGCCAGGAGGACGACTGCTCACACACAAACACACACATGAAAACAACAGAAAGTTATCGAACAGGTGGGAAACTAAACAGTTTATTGGTGTTCTACAAGAAAAATGAGAATTACCACCTCATGGTTGTATGCTTCTGCAGACAGGTCAGGTTGCAGTAATAGTTTACATCCATGTCTGTCCAGACCTAGCCCAGTTTCAAGGTGGACACCGAAGACTAGTGTCATCATTTCAGTATCTGACCAATTGTTTGCCCCTCTGTTACTGAATTATGACGTTGAGTAATGGCTAGAAAAGTGTTTTTGCAGAACATTATGATGTCACAGTGAAGGTGACCTTTGACCTTTTGCATATAAAATGTCACCACATCATCATTTCATCCTATTAGCTATTTGTGTGAAATTTTGTCATAATTAGCAAACGAATTCCTGAGTTATGGCCAAAAACATGTTTTGTGAGGTCACAGTGACCTTTGATCACCAAAATTTAATCAGTTCATTCTTGACTTATGTTGATGTTTGTGCCAAATTTGAACAAATTTCCTCAAGGCCTTCCTGAGATAGATTCTGTTCACAAGAATGAGATGGATGCAAGGTCACAGTGACCCTTGACCATCAAAATCTAATCAGTTCATCATTGAGTCCAAGAGGGCATTTGTGCCATACCTGAGGAAGTTCGCTCAAGGTTTTCCTGATGTATTGTGTTCACAAGACTGAGACAGATTCAAGGTCATGGTGACCTCTGACCACCAAATTCTCATCAGTTCATTGTTGGGCGTAAGTAGACATTTGTGCCATATTTCCTCTTCGAGGCGTTCTTGAGATAGTGTTTACAATAATGGGATATACAAACCAAATAGCCCAAAAACAATGCCTTTGGCCACAGCTATCACCAGCACAGAGGCATTAAAAAGCAAAGAATGGTGGGCAACTAATGTGATCAGTGTATGCCTGAACACTGTGTAACACCGACAATACCGACTGCTGCAGCAAGTCTAACTCACAGGTGTAAATACACTCTAAGCAAGCCTTCACACTCACACAAACATTAATACATTACCTTCACTCTTGGCAAAATATGACTCCAACTTTGAATCACACATGAAATTTGATTCAGTGATCTTCAAATTAACTTTATTTTTCTACTGCTATCAATTACTGTGAACTTTTCCCATGGAAACACACACACACACACACACACACACACACACGCACACACGCACACACAGCTCACCTGCTCTGGCTCTCTCCTTGTGTTGCCGCACTTCATCAGCGTGAGCCTTCTCCTGGTGTTTGATCATGTTCTTCACGCTGGCAAACCTGTTTCCACACAGCAGGCACTGCACACCTGTGTTCCCCTCTGCACACACACACAGACAGCACAGTGTGAGCAACATTAAATCCTACTTTCGTCTTCTCTGATCACTGAGGAGCATCTTTCTTAAACTCAAAAGTCTGATGAGGGATCAGGCAATCTCACCTGGGTGAAGTCTCCTCATGTGTTTCTTCAGTTCTGAGGATGTTACAAACTTTGAGTCACATTTCGGCTGTGTACATTTGTATGGAGTCTCACCTGAAACACAGACACAACCATATATTGAGGAGTGTGACGGGAAAAGCTGCTTGAGCCAAAAGATGACAAATTTTGGCTGCTAAATGCCACAATCTGTCCAAACTGTTTGGAAGGAAACCAAACAAGTTCTACTGTGAAATTCTGGCTGAAGTTCAATCCAATTAATAAACATGGGAAAATATTCTCACCTGTGTGTTTTCGTGCATGAGCAATAAGAGAAGAAGAAACGGAGAATGACATGCCGCACAGATCACACTGGTACGGTTTCTCTCCGGTGTGTCGTCGCTTGTGATAGGTCAGTGTACTGGACTGAGCGAACGCCTGACCACAGATGTCACACACATACGGTTTTTCCCCACTGTGCAGTCTGCAGAGAGCACACACACATTTATAGTAATTTATCATTATTCAAGAAGACTGGAAACTGCTGGGCTGGTCAGAACTTCTACAGCTCACTCCTTCTCTGTATCTCATTCGTTTCATCTGTACAAAACCTGAAGTGTTGAAATGACGTTTGTTGTTTTACAGGTGACTATGTGTCAGACTATTTCTTGGTCAAGGCCAGATGCCAGACAACGAGTGGAGTCTATTCAACAGCAACCAAAGGTGAGATACCCCGGAGCATTTTCCATTTACCACTCTCTATCAGAGCTGCTACTGTGCAAATAATAACAACAATAATAATAATTCCAAAAGCAGTGCATGTACCTGATGTGTATTTTGTAGTTGGACGACGTAGCAAACTTGAAACCGCAGCGCTCGCAGGTGTAAGGCTTCTCCTCTCCATGGTGCATCCGGCGGTGAGCGACCAGCTGACACTTCTGAGCAAAACACTTGTCGCAGTCGCTGCAACTAAATGGCTTCTCGCCTGCGACAAACACCATAGAGACAGAAACATTCAGTTCAGCCAAACTTGTGGAGAAAAAAGAAAACCTGGGTAATTACGTCAAAATTTCTTCGTCCAAAACAATGTTCATTCTGCCCTTGTTGCGTGTTTCATGAAATTTAACCTCAACTTGAGGCACTCTGTGGGTAATACAAGAGTCCATCTGAGGATTA